GATTGATATTTTTCTTAATTTCTCATCACTTATCTGCACAGTATTGTATTGATATTGTAAGGAGAAATTCTCTCCTGATCAGCCAGTAATCCCCTGATTGATATTTTTCTTAATTTCTTATCACTTGTCTGCACAGTATTGTATTGATATTGTAAGGAGAAATTCTCTCCTGATCAGCCAGTAATCCCCTGATTGATATTTTTCTTAATTTCTCATCACTTATCTGCACAGTATTGTATTGATATTGTAAGGAGAAATTCTCTCCTGATCAGCCAGTAATCCCCTGATTGATATTTTTCTTAATTTCTCATCACTTATCTGCACAGTATTGTATTGATATTGTAAGGAGAAATTCTCTCCTGATCAGCCAGTAATCCCCTGATTGATATTTTTCTTAATTTCTCATCACTTATCTGCACAGTATTGTATTGATATTGTAAGGAGAAATTCTCTCCTGATCAGCCAGTAATCCCCTGATTGATATTTTCCTTAATTTCTCATCACTTATCTGCACAGTATTGTATTGATATTGTAAGGAGAAATTCTCTCCTGATCAGCCAGTAATCCTGATTGATATTTTCCTTAATTTCTCATCACTTATCTGCACAGTATTGTATTGATATTGTAAGGAGAAATTCTCTCCTGATCAGCCAGTAATCCCCTGATTGATATTTTCCTTAATTTCTCATCACTCGTCTGCTCAGAATTGTATTGATGTTGTAAGGAGAAATTCTCTCTTGGTCAGTTTTAGGAGTTAAAGCTTTAAAAATCTTCAATCAATAGCCTAAATCTATAGTTTGAGGGAAGTGTTTGCCCTTCTGTGTAACTTCTGTGTAAAAAACCAATAAGTGAGGCAAATTAAAGACACAAGGATGGAAAGTTCAGACTTGTAAACTGGATAGAAATTCTTACAGCAATTTGAAATCTTAGAAAAATACAGGTAGTTGCTTAAGGATGTAATATGTCTCTAAATTAAGGGCACTTTAGGAAATTTCTCTCATACCAATCCTTCTAATTTGTAACATGTCTGAAAACTTTTTTTTGAGCAACACAAGCATAAAATGTTGACATGATATAAGTCCTATTTCATGGTATAGTTATTCATTGGTACCAGTGGGTATTAATAATCTAACTGAGGTATTAAATTGCATATCCATACCTTTCTCTTCAGCAGTAGTTGATCTCTCCATGTTTGAACAAACAGCTGCACCAAATACCTGCTGTGTTGCAATTAAAAGCCTAGTATCAGGTTTGTTTAGTAAAACACCATTAGACTAAGTTGTTGTTAATGAGCAAAGCTGTATATTACCAAAAATTGATCATATCTAGCTACAATTTAAAAAAGGTAGCCCTTTCCTTGGACTAAGAATGCTATGAGAGAGAGCCTCCTGCCTTAAACTTAACCTTTAAACTCCCAGAAGTGATTAACATGCAACTTTTCCCTATAATTTCCAAACAATTCCCAGCAAAACAGGTGATGGAAGTATTCAAAGTTATCATGTAGAAGTTGTCATCCTGATTGAACACCAAACTCTTGCAACTAATTTACAGGGAAATGTGTAACTGCCTTAAGGGAGAATTAACAACTAGATCTTGGGAGTTAAAGGGTCAAACACCAATACTGGTAGATGTCCTGGGACACATAGCTCAGCCACTTGTAGATGTTTTTTAGTACTGTGTAATAATTAGAACCTAAAAGTTGGGTAATTCTATTTGAATGCACTGAACAACTCCAAGAAATCATACTCATAAATTTAGACACATACATGTGTTAACTTAGCTCTTGTAACTATGGTATGATCTAGATTCAGTAATAATTTGGTTTTCATACTAGTTTCAGGTGAAGATTTTACATATATGTGAAATTTACCATGTAAAAGGCATGTGATCAAATTGTTTGGGAGGCATAAAATTGTTGCCCCTTTCTCTTTTACATGCTCTTGACTAGCTCTTAGTCCTACATGCTAAAATATTGGACTCATGTGTACCCTTAGGTCAGTGACTGGAAGCAAAATTAATGGATGTTAAACTCTAGTCTTGCACCTCCCACAGAGCACCTGAGTTAAATTAAGGGAAGCCTTTGCTTAATGAAAGTAATGAAAAAAAAACATTTACAGAGAGATGATAAACTTTAAAAGGAGTTTAAAAAAATGAAGGGTAAGGTCTAAAAAATCATTATTCACCCTCGTATGTCCTAGTGGTTGCCTGAAAGGGTTAACCTCACAGTGAAACCAATGACACTAGTTAAAGGAATACTGGTAGATGCTGTAGCTTTTACTATGCCTAAGGGGTTAAAAAAGCATATTGCAGTGGACAGTCCCATATTATGTCACCGTAAACCTCCGTAGCAATACTTAAATTTCACTCAATCATTTTTCTGGTCTCTAATTTGTTGGATACGGGTTGGGCAATAGACTGCAACAACTATATCATGCTTCACAAACCAGCCTAGCTTAATTCAATTTAACTTACCTACAGTGAGGACTTCTGATATGTGAGAATTACAGACTCGAGCCTTTGAATGTAGCTGATTGCAATGTCCTGAAAGCTTCTTAGTCGTCTTGGAAGTCTCCGTACCCCCGTTTAGTCCAGCTGTTATCGACCAAAAAAACACTGAATTGTTCAAATTAATGATAAAAGCATGAAACTTTGCCACAACACTTATAACTCTTAGACTAACATTTTCTGATATAGGGCCAATCCAAATTGAATTCTGGTGACGAGAACCACGCATGTCAGAAACTCGCTGACATAGAAACGAGGCTAAGAATAAAAGATCCTCTTTAACGACATTGCTAAGGAAAATTTTCGATAAAAGCCTTCAAACATAACAACCGAGTCATTTTCTATTCATTTGCATTTATCTTATGCCATTATGGTACTATCCTCTTTGATATTTATCGTAATGTTTGGGTGCCCTGTGGTTAAACGTTAAATATACCTGTTTACGTTATTTCCTGAATCACGATTGGTAAAACTTGTTTACCTTAAAAACATAAAGCTTATGTCTTTGGTTGATTTGACATTCACGTCCGTTACTTTAATAAAATTAACCAGCTATTATAAATAAGCTTTGATGAACAGATTTGGGATACTTGTGGTGAAGTCCTAAAATGTTCTCCTATCTAACCAAATTTCAATATATGATTGATGTAATGCATAATACTTAATCGATCTCAACCTCAATAGGATTTCACCTAAAGCGCCGTTCAGGGAAGTGTAGCTGAACAATTTACCACAGGTATCCCAAATCTCTTTACCAACATTTAAGCTTATTTATAATAGCTGGTTAATTTTACTAAAGTAACGGACGTGAATGTCAAATCAGCCAAAGACATAAGCTTTATGTTTTTAAGGTAAACAAGTTTTACCAATCGTGATTCAGGAAATAACGTAAACAGGTATATTTAACGTTTAACCACAGGACACCCAAACATTATGACCATAATGGCATAAGATGACTACGAATGGACAGAAAATGACTCGGTTGTTATGTTTGAAGGCTTTTGTCGCAAATTTTCCTAAGCAATGTCATTAAAGAGGATTTTTATTCTTAGCCTCGTTTCCATGTCAGCGAATTTCTGACATGCGTGGTTTTCGTCACCAGAAGTTAATTTGGATTGGCCCTATATCAGAAAATTTTAGTTTCAGGGTCATAAGTGTTGTGGCAAATTTATCATTAATTTGAACAATTTTGGTCGATAACCGCTAGATTAGTTCAATCGTAACAATTTCTGATGCTCCTTATACCCAGGGCCGCTCGTTTTTGCTCTTTTCTTCCTCAGAGCCTTTCGTTTTCTTAAGCCTGCGCGGCCTTTAAAGCCTGGGGAATACATTGTCACAAAAGAAGTCCCTTGGCCAATCTCAAGCAGCCGAGATGACTTGGCGAAAACGTTTGCATGGAAATTATAGGAGAATGCTTGGGAACAAACGAAACATATAATTCTGTCTTCTGTAAATATTCTTCTATGAAATCTTCGAACCTTACGTTTTCGTTGTATCTTTTCGCTCTGGTTTTACCTCGTGGCATGCCTTCGGGGCAGACCAAGGCGAAAATTCGGCTGGGTTTGTTTTTCAAGGTGTTCACGATCACAAAATCGACCGACATGATTCTGGAGAGTAATGTTGTTTACTTCCGGTCTTGCTCACTAGTAATTGACTTGATATTTTCACGCTGACTGAAGAACGTCTGAGGGGTGAATTTGCAGACCGCTTCAATAGTAATTTTAACAACTGACTGGAAAAAATGCATATCACCGACAGAGGGATGTTTCTCTTCATATCAACTTACTAGATGATGTTCACTGCTGACCGAGTAGATGCGCATACGTAACTTACGGAGTGGTGTTTTGACCCATACTGATGTGGAAACAAAAATTCCGTTTTCCAGAGACACCAAATAACTCACTTTAGTCTCTCTAATTAAAGGTTTAATCTTCACAAAATGTTGTATACAACTCAAAATCTCTCCTCTCTCCAAAACATCACCGATGCGTATTTTCCACGAGGTACGTAATTTGAACCGAGGCTCACATAATTTCAAAACGAGGTTGTCAATGACAAAAGTCACGCAACTCCCAAAAAAAAACAGTCACGACACCCTCCCCCCATTTAAGTGATAATCAGCTTAAATGTTCTTAAACTTCTTGTGAAACAATGTCCTTGATTCTCTCGTTTGCGATCTCCTTGGATCTTCTACTTGGGCTCAATCTTGGTCTGAACACTTCTGCTTCTGGGTTTAGCTGGCAGTCAGGATCCTCTCCTCCAATTTCTAGTTTACATACCAGTTGCAAGGGGCGCTCCACGATGTAACCATTCCCTTGCTTAAGCTTCAATCCGCGGACTGTTCCATCCTTGCCCGTGACCTTTCCTACCACTCGTGCAAGCTTCCACAGTGCTCTATTCTTGGTTTCATCTTTAAGCAACACCAGCGCTCCTGTGTTCGGGATTTCGGCAATGTTACTGGTGGGCGGCCGTTGTCTTTCTTCAAGGGCGTGCACTTACTCCTTCACGAATCTCTTTCGAAGATGCTCTTTGCTTTTCTGCAGAAACCTCATTCGTCTGGTTACTTCCTCCTTTCCAATCTTCTCAAGATCCTCCTCTAAGATGGGGTTTGGCCTTCCTCTAAGTAACGTGTTTGGGGTGAGCACTGGTTGCTCAAATTCCTCTCCCTGATAAAAAAATGGCCTGTTATTCATGCAGATTTCGACGTCTAACAGGACTTCTTCCAACTCTTCATAGCTGAGCAGACTTCGGCCAATCACTTTAGACAGACACCTTTTCATAATGCCGATTAGGCGCTCAAAGAAGCCTCCCCACCAAGGGGCCCGGGCCAAGTTAAACTTCCACTTAAGGTTCAACATCCCCATGAAATTTGCAAGGCTGTGATCCCTTTTGAGGACTGATAACCATTTTCCAGTAGCCACGAATGTTTTGCCGTTATCGCTCACAATGGTCTGGGGACATCCTCGTCTGGCAGTAAATTCCTTTAAGGCTCTCTGAAATTCTGTGGCGGACAGATTGCGACATAGCTTCAAATGGACCGCTCTGGTGCTAGCACAAGTGAACAGTGCGATGTATGCCTTTGTTGTACTTGACTTTGTAATCTTATAGTACACTGGTCCTGCAAAAGGGTCTGATAGTTCGGTTCTGAAAAGTGGCAATCTAGACTCCAAGATAGGTGAAGTGGACAATGGCTTCCACCGATAGCGTTTGCAAACCGTACAGTCTCGTATCACCTTCTTAGTCAGCGCTCTTAACTTGGGTATCCAAAACTTTTCTCGCATGCGACATGAGGTTATCGAGACTCCCCCATGCATCATCTGCTCGTGTAGTTGTTTAACAATAAGGAAGGCTAGCTTGCAACTTCGAGGAAGAAAGATTGTGTTGTAATCCTTCACTCTTCCGACACAACTCAATATTCCATGCTCATCCTTCAGTGTCACATCTGACTTGACATCCTGAGATGCCTGGGCCTGGTGAATCCAGTACTTCTCTGCTGCTTGTATTTCTTCAGTTGTCAATGGTCCCTTCTGTTTCTCATTCCTCTTGCAGTTGCCAATAAATCGTCTCATAATGGCAGCTATCCTCAGAAGCTTCTGATAGGATGCATACTTGTTAAGAAGCTGATTCACAATTGGATTTTTCTCTTCTTCCTTGGTAGGAAGCTGTTTCTCGAACTTAGGCTTCACACTCTCTTTTGCTGTTTCTACGGTTTCCGACACCTGAGGTTGCTGTGGCCATTTTCCCGGACAACTTAGCCAGTCTGGTCCTTTAAACCAAAGCTCTCCCATCTTACAGGGTTCTGTGCCTCTACTTCCTTGGTCACTGGGATTGTCTTTCGTTGGGACATGGTGCCACTTCAGGTATTGCTTGTCTTGTATCACTTCAGTACGGTTTCGAACAAACTGTGACCACGTCCCATGACCTTTAATCCCGTACAGCACCATAGTACTATCGACCCAGCAGTGATACTCTTCAACTAGCTGACCTTCCATTACTTCCTTCACATGATTCATCAATTTGCTCAAGGTGTGTGCTGCAATAAGCTCCAACTGTGGGATTGACAGGTGTTTTGGTGCTATTCTTGACTTCGCAACAAGCAGGCTCTGGTGAACTGGAGCAACATGATGAAATACAAGTGCGTAAACGGCTGCTGAAACTGCTAGCTTGCTTGCATCAGCAAAACCATGAAGGTCAATTCTTCTCACATCTTTACTCACAACACTGCGCGGAACACTTATTGACGGACACTTCTCCATTCCCTTCAGCCAGTTCTTCCAAGATCTTTGTATCTCGTCTGGTATCACTTGGTCCCACCTCAGCTTTCTTAGGCAAACCTCACTGTACAGGATCTTTCCCGTGATGGTCACTAGTGCTGCAAGTCCCAACAAGTCATTAACACCATTAATGGCCGATAACATCTTTCTCTTGCTAAGGGGACCGTCACTCGTTGTTCTCAATGGCTTTATGAAACCAACTGAAATTGTGTCTTTTGCCTTGTTCCGAGGTACTCCAAGTATCTTTGTTTCTTGGGAATGGGTTCCAACCACTAACTTTGCATAAGTCGAGCTTGCTTGTGATAGTAGGGTTTCATTATCAATTCGCTGTGATTCTTCTAACTCTGGAATGTTGCTGTGCCACTTGTGCAGGTGAAACCCTCCTTCTTCCATTATTCGCGTGGCCTCCTTTTTGAAACTGATCAGCTCTTCTACACAATCACTGCCTGATTGAACATCGTCCACATAGGTGTTTTTTAGCAACTCATCAGCAGCACTGGGGTACTTATCAGCATACTGGCTCACATCTTTTTGAAGTGTGGCCCCAAGAATATATGGGCTTGGTCCTGACCCAAAAATCACTCTGGTGAAACGATACTGCCTCGCCGTTCTTGAGTCGATGTTCTCATACCATAGAAGGCGAAGGGCATCTCTATCTCTTGGGTCCACTTTAATTTGAAGAAAGGCCTTTTGAATATCTCCGGTGATACACAACATCTTCATACGATTTCGAAGAAGGATGTCAAATAACATGGGTTGTAAAGGGGGTCCTACTTCCAAACAGTCGTTCAAGGAAGGTACTTGACAATGTGTCTTTGCTGAACAATCATAAACTATCCTCATCTTTGTGGATTCGGCCTGGTCTCGGATCACTGGTTGATGAGGAATATAATGGATGACCTCCCCCGTAGGTGTTTCAGGTACCTCTTCCAAGATTCCTTCCGCTAATTGCTCTGTCATAACCATATGTTACTCTTTCAGTCGCTGCATCCTCTCTAGTTTCTGTGTTGTACTTCTAAGCCTTCCAATAGTCAGTTGTTTGTTTGAAAGCAGAGGGGGGTGATCTGGTTTCCATGGCGACCTTGTTGAATATGTTCCATCATCCAAACGTTGTAAGTGATCTTTGAAATATTCTTGGAACAACTGCTGCACGTCAGCTTTATCAGTCAGTCCTAGGACCTTCTGCGAACACATCTGCTCGAATTCACCTTGGCTTGAATTTAGGAAGAAACCCTTTTCGGTCTCCGCACTCAACGGCGTTAACTTTCCTGTGATCACCCAACCCAGCATGGTGTACTCTGCACCAGGATCAATGTCTGAATCTACTCCTAGGACAGCTGGTTCAGTTGTTTTGATGCGCTGGATATCTGCAGCAACAAGGATCCCATGGACTGGCAAGTTATCTTCCATCGCCATTTCTTCACTGAAGTGTAGTAGTTGACATTCTTTAACTCCGAGATTCTTGGGTTAGGGAAGTGAGTCAACACTGGTTTCGCTGCATTTATGCAACGTAGCTCAAGCTCATAGCCCTCGATGGCGTTTGATTCAACGCGGACCTTGTATATCTCAACAAGTTTGTCCACTGTCTCATACATTTGTTCTATGACCCTCCTTTCAGTTCGGTATGGCTTCAAGTTCAGTTCTGTAAGCAAACTTAAGCTGATGTAAGAGCTTCCAGCTCCACTGTCCAACATGATTCGAGCTTGTACTCCTCCAACTTTAGTAATTACAGTTGCATACGAGGTACACATGTTTTGAGAATCCATTGCACCATAAAACCTGTCAGACCGACCCGATGACTCAGGGGTACCCTTGTGGGTGGGCGGGAGTGTCGTCTTCATCTTGTCACATACAGAGGTAGGGTGTCTTCCATTACATTTGCCAAACCCTCGTCCTTTACATTTGGAAGCCAGATGCCCAGACCTTGCGCTGTTATAACATAACTTGTTTCTTGGTAAATATTCCCGTCTACTGGTAATGTCTAAAACCTTGATACAGTCACTGCTACGATGACTGTTTAAACCAAAGTAAACACAGGAAGGGGGACTTTGCGGCTGCTATTTATTTCCTCCAGCCATAAAGTTTTTGTCTGGTTTCTTTTGGCAATTGTCTCGATTCCCAGGTACAGTGGGGCTTGGAGGGGGCAGGCTAGATTCCACCAAGGGCAGGGGGTTTCGGTCTGTGTACTTCCTCAAATTTCAAAACGAGGTTGTCAATGACAAAAGTCACGCAACTCCCAAAAAAAACAGTCACGACACTGACCTAGTAACGTATTCACAAGACTACAAATGAATATTAAAGAATTTTCAAACATAAATTTTTTGTTAGCGAACAGGAACATATATCAACGTATTAAATTGCTTTTGAAACAAACGGCACGCCATACAAGACCGCACATTTGATGCACTATTCTTCCGAAAGTCGACAACGGTGCTTTTAAAATCCTTTTGGTCCATTTCTCAGTTTTTGACTGTCATGAAAACAAACCTAGCCAGATTTTTAACGTGGTCTGCTCTGTAGGCATCCCATGTAATTATACTGTATTGGTGAAACGCTTCCAGGTAAAATGCGTGTCATGCTCAGCTCTATCAAATAATTTTTTTTAACAGTTTTCACTTTAACACCGAAATCACTGTTTATTTATGGTTAAGACTCGCTTACCCAAGATAGATAAGACCGGGGAAAGCTTTTATTAATGGACTGATATATTGTCGGTGGATATCTTAAGCCAATGAGAAATGCAAAATTCTGGGTGTTTTTTTTTAGAGGATACCCAATCATAATCTGTTCGCATGATTTCATAACGTTTATCGATCCTATACTTTCGGGTATTTCTAAGGCTCTACTCTTATAGTTTTGGGTACCCGAGACAATCCTCCTCATCGAGACAACTTAACGGAGCGTTTGCTAGGAGATGAAAGTTGAAAAAGCTGTCCCCTCACCAGTATCTCCACAAACCTAAAAGACAGAAGCTCCGGAAACAATTGAGCTGTCTCGTCCGGGCAGGCGAGCCAAAGTGTCTATATGAGAAAAAGTTGTCCCGTCTGACAGGGTAACCTTACTTGCTGAGGCGAGACACTCGCCCACATGAGTTTTTCGCCCCGCAGGACGAGTTCGCCTTTTTCATGTAAACGGTTGGTTGAAAATTTCAAAGAAATAAGGGATAAGTTAGCTCGGCAAGGGTAACTCGGTTGGAAGGTTGTCTCGGGTACCCGAGGCTATAAAAATGAACCCTGTGGATGACCGAGTTTGTTGTATCTTGAACAACTGGAATTCAGATTGAGTAAACCACCTTTTTTAGTGGACAACTAGTGAGTTTATTGAGATTTAACGCATTCAAGAATTTGTTTCCAGTGATCACAACGACCACGGCCAACTCTACCTACTTTTAAGACGGCAACACTTATAGACAAAATTTTTATTGATGAATAAAGTTCACGTTCTTTAAGCGGACCAGTGTTTTCAGGTATAATTGATCCTCTTCCGAATTTCACTTGGCGAAAGCGCGATGGATTAATTGCGTAAAACTCCCTAAAGAAGTCTACGACAGTTAGACGAAACGCGCTTCGACGGCGGAGAATAAAAATATTTTACAGCTACTGTTCGCAGAGTGCTGCTCACCAGTAAAGTTTTTTAAAAAACATTTAAAAAGTAATTCTTCAGATAGATGTTATTTACAGAAATCGTTTCGATCCCAAAATGCAAAGTACAGCAACGTCACACCACAAAAAAGAAACAAAACAAAACAATTATTAACCCTACCTCGATATAACGAACATTTTGGTTGTTTTCCGCAAACTCATTAAATCGAGTTTTTCGAGATAACGAACTCTCGATATAAGGAACTAATTTCCCTAGTCCCTCGGCACTTCGTTAAATCGAAGTCTCACTGCACAAATAAATTTTTTCATGCGCGGGATCAAAGCGGGCAAGGCTACATTGGCTACCCGAGCGGGCAAGATGCTCTTGCTCGTTCGGGTAGCTCGCTCGGGTAGCCAATCACGCCACAGGATTCGCTTCACATTGCCCACGGTCACTGTCAGCGATATAATTATCTAAAGTCGCAAATAATTTTTGTCAGCAATACCCCCTCCTTTAACCCCCTCTTCCCCCTGTAAAAGGTTGCATTTTGTTTTAATAATTCTTAGAAGCTACCATGATCATCGATATCTTGTTGCGCGGCTAGATTGATATGAAACCGATCGTTTTGAAGCATTTCTTCCTAAAACTACCTGCTCTCCCGGCGATCCTGAGGGCGCTTCTGAGGAAGATCTTGAGGGCCATTCTAACAATTATCCTGGGGGTGATCCTCAGAGCGATCCTTAGAACGTTCCTGAGGACCTTCCTGAGGGCTATCTTGGGGACGGTCTTGGGGACGGTCCTGGGGACGGTCTTGGGGACGGTCTTGGGGACGGTCTTGGGGACGGTCTTGGGGACGGTCTTGGGGACGGTCTTGGGGACGGTCTTGGGGACGGTCTTGGGGACGGTCTTGGGGACGGTCTTGGGGACGGTCTTGGGGACGGTCTTGGGGACGGTCTTGGGGACGGTCTTGGGGACGGTCTTAGGGACTGTCTTGGGGGCGGTCTTGAGGGATTAACTTGGGGGAAATCCCCCCCAAAGCGCCGTATTATAGACGTTCCCGAAAGAAATACTGTGGACGAACACGAGGGCCATTGTAAGGGCGTTCCTGGGGGCGATTTTTCGGGCAATGATGTGCCACTCTTTCTTCTTAATTCTTCATGCTCTTGCTCTCGTTCACCCAGCCACGTATCGTAATCACCATCGAGGAGTGCTGACAATCTACGACGATTTTTTAAAGTTTGCGTTGACCCTTCTAGGGTATGAGTTACTGCAAACACTATTTCTGTAGCACCTCTGTTTAACAATCTCATTAATTCTTTGGTTTCAAAGCCATCCGGCTTAGCTTCGACATGCTGCTCCATATGTCGCTTCAATGCCAACCAATGACGAATAATAGAGAAAACGGACAGATCTGTTGCTGATTGACCAACTGACAAAGCGGCATTCTTCAGCAACTTAAATGTTGTACACATTGCCTTTGCGATTTCTCCTGATGGCATTGTACCACGAATAACCTGCTGTACCACGCGATGTAGCCTCATGCATCCAACAGACTTCCTCTGGAAAAGTGAAAACTTTGTCAAAACTTCTACTATGTGGCTATTTGTCAGGGGAAGTTCCCTTTTCTTTCCGGCATCTGGGACGTCAGGAGACAAGAGCTCTGCACTTATAAGTCCTTCATGGATTTCATCTGGATTAAGGAAAGCAGCTGCATGTACGAACCTGGTTGCAATGTCTCCAAATTTTGAGCTCTTCACGAAGTCAAAGTTCATCAGCCATGTGGTGTGGACGGAAAGACGATTCAAGGAATCATACTCCCTCGAGGGATTTGCGTGACGTTGACTCAAAAGCTGCAAACGTTCGAGTTTGTATTCGGTTAGATATTTACTTATAGGGCACTGAAGAGATCTGATATGTGCACCAGCCTGCTCCAAAGCAAGAGGAAGACAACCAAGCTCAACAACCAGCTCATTTAGCGTATCCTCCTGGTCTGAAATATTTTCACCGCTTGAACGACTTAAAAGGAACTCTTTTGCTTCGTCAGGAGAGAAAGAGAAGACTTCTACACAACAACTTGTGTCGAGATCCACACATTGACAAATTTCTTTCTTTTCACGCCTTGTTGTTATCAGCATGTGACCGTTTGACTCCCTTTTCCATATTCCTGTCAAAGCTTTACGCATTTTCAGAGAAAGTAGTGGTTGGTCGACGTTATCGAGAACCATTAGCCACAGCTTTTCTTGCCGAGATATAAACATTAGAATTTGCGTCAGTGTAAAATCTGATGAGTTCTCCATCAGTCCTAAACGTAACGCCAGGTCATTCACACAACTTTCAAATTTCTCTTCATTCTCCATGGAGAACCAAAATACGCCTCCCTCGTATTGTGGTTTATACTTCCAAGCGAATTGAGCTGCTAAGGTCGTTTTTCCACATCCACCAAGACCACAAATGGCCGCCATCCTAAATTCGTGATGGCTCTTTTCTAGAGGAAGGCACCTTTCAAGCGATTCTAGCTCTTTTTGTCTTCCTGTAAACCACTTGTTTCGATCTGGCGCATCAAATATTACAGATTTATTATGTGCCACGGAAACATTGACTTTCCTTGAAAGCAGTGTTTCCCAACTGTTCTGCATCGCCGGCGTTTTGACTTCCAAAATTTTGCAAGAAGTTTTTTCCAGGTCTTGTCTTGCTGGTTGTTTTTCATGTCTGCTTTTGCTCAATTCATGTAATATTGCCTCAAACATTTCACGTATGCTATCGATCTTTTCTTCCAGCCGATTGGTCATTGTTTCGGAAAGCGCTACAATTTCATCGCGTATGACACTGAGGAATGTGTCATTTAGTGGCTTACCAACGCAGAATTCTAACCCTAAGCAAAATTAGGACAACCAAGCAATTAGTAAACCAACAATAAGCCGTCGATTTTCAATGTGAGCTAAAGATTATCGTCACTTACCATTAAAGTGGATTGTAGGAATCGAGTGATTTTGCTTGACAGCCCTGATTTACCGTGGACTGACTCGCGTTATAAATTCACCATGCTGGCGAGCAAATGTTGACCACACGCAGACAATCATATGGAATGTGAAGCTATGTGACGTTATTGACCTCTAACGCTCGCTGTAATTTACAACGGTAAGATTTTCTTCACCAACGGCAAAATAATCACGCGACCTTCCTTCCCCCAGCCTGCAGATTGTCTCTCGAAAGTTTGATTTCGGGCCGCCTTTTCAACGGCACACATGTGTACTGGTCGGGGAGAGGGTCGGGTGATAGTTTTGTCGCCAGCCTGGAAATGTGGGCTCGATTGATTGATTAATTTCGTTATCAGAACTGTTAATCGACCTCTTCTTTCCACGTACATCTTGTATCGATAGCAAAACTGTTATCGAAGCAGGAAAATAGAGTAGGCTTTTGAGGTGTTTAGAGTACGTGTTTAGAGACGTGCTTGAAAATAGGAGGGGAGCGATAACTGAAAGTAAAAGAGGTTTGGCGAAGTTGTTGAGATTGGAAGCTTCACGGCTTGATGATTTTGTTTTTGAGGAGTATCAGTTGAAAGGGGGGAGGAGGAGGTGGTGAGAATTATCCTTCCTGTAAAAATTACCAGATCACTTGCTAAAACACAGGAAAATGAAAGTAAATGATCAAAAGCTGCAAATTGTAAGCTATAAAGCTTAAGAGGAATTGTCATCGATCACTTGAATCAAAGTGAGATTGGATGTTGCCAATTACAGCGAGAGTTAGAGATAAACAATCTTTTCACGTCGCGCGGCCTCAAACCCATGCGGTTGTCTGCCTGTGTTTTGCCAAGCGATTAGAATCAACGGAAATCAGCAGTTTGAGTTCCACAGAGCTTGGGAACCAACATGTAAAAAGATCAAGCTGTCAAAGGCGTGATATCTTAGCTCAAGTCTATGCTTTCTATGCAAAGCAATACAAACTAAGAGAAAAAAGGAAGTCTCATTTAGTTTCATTGTTCTGTGTTTCACATTCAATAGTCATACTTGGTTCACACTAAATGAACATTTGTCGATTTTTTTCGAATTTATGTCTTCAATTTGGTTCATGAATGTCTACGTTGAGATTGCAATCCGTATCTCTTCAACAGCCAGCATATTCTATCGGCCTTAAGATACAATTTTGGTTGAGACCTCCTCGGTTAGAGGAGAAGACAGAGCAATATTTCTTCAAATATGTGTAATGACATCTTACCATGCTTCCTCCACAACTGTAGCTCAGCGAGGAGCTCTGTTTTTCCTGCTGGGGCAAATCCCAAGTCTTCAACTAAGGTCTCCATTCGATCAAAACATGTATTGTATTTCACTTCCGTCCATGACGCATAGTCGCAATGGGCCCACTCATTTCGTACTTCAGATCTTACAAGTTCAGCTGACGGCGCTGCAGAGCTGAATGGCGGAGCACAGCAAAGAACAGCCAGAGCCGCCGAGGCATCAAAAGAGGAATCAAATGCATCGAAATGTGCCATGAAAGGTTTCATGAACAACTTAGCCAATGGCACTTCATCCTTTACACAATAGTCAAAGCGATGTGTGTCTCGACCCAGGTCGGCGTTATTGTTGATACTTTCGTAGTTTAGCTTCAGGGTGGTCGGTGGAATAGTCTTCAGGTGAGTCGGATAGAATTGCTCGTCTAATCCATACTTTGCCAACAGATGCTGGTAAAATGGTTTCATTTCCTGTTGAATCTTATTTCTGAGATACGGCATAAGAACTCTGTTGAGAACAGTACCAACCACCAACCACCGACGATGTTCTGTGTCTTTCCCGGGCGACGAAGCCATGCTCTGTTTCTTGCCTTCTAAGTCACAAGTTTACTTAACACCTAGAGGGAAGGTAGGTTTAAATGACGTAAAAATAAAAACAATGGTAGCTCATAACAGTGCATATTTGGTCTCGATAATTTGTTTGAATTGTTGTTCTTCGAAGTGTCTTCCCCTTGCCGAAGTTGGTTTGTTGTTTTATATTTTCAAAACCAAGATTGTCTGCGTTACATGAGGTTTTTAATAGTTTATAACCAGCCCTATGGCTATATTCGTTAAATTTAAAACTCTCTCTTTCGTCTTCTCTACTATTCTTTCCGCACTTAATCGAACACGTCCATACTTCAAAACTTCCAGATGTTTTTAAATCCACAATTATAGAATTTCTATCATCACACTTTCCACTTATCTTCCATACTTCCAAACTTCTACATCTTCTACATTACTTTACACGAAAGCTTCTTCCTTTCTAATTCATGTCCTGTTTTGTCTTCGATTGAATTATTTCAAGTTATTATCTCGTCAACACTTTCATACATCCAAAGTATATTGGTAACTTTTTAACTTTTCTCCCACCATTCTAATTTAGACCTTAAATCTTTGTTTATTTCGTCATTTAAAAATTTTAAAGCGTCAAGACTACACTCGAACATGTTTCTCAACTCCGTCACCTCTATTTACTCCTCCACACTTCTCCACTTCACATTTCCACAACTCTTCTCAAGTTCCTAAGTTCCACAATTGCACGCGTCCACTCCACTAATATTTTAAGGTATAATTTTGGCCATACATTTTTTTTCAGTCCATTCTGATGAGCTGTTACGAGAAATGAAGTGTAAATTTGAGAAGCATCTCAAAACAATCTTCCAAGAATGAGAATATTGATTAAAATGATTCGATTCAGTTTAGTAAAGGCTTGCATAGCTTGAGTTCGCCGGGTGGGACTTCACACACAATTTTCGCGCTGTGAAACTCTAGTTAAAGTCACGAGAAGTCTGAACGGTCGAGTGAGCATGAAACACGTTTTAGATTGTCGCATCACCAGAACATGATCAATATATGAAACTGAATTATGCATTTAAGAAGTTTATTGAAACCCATCCCATTTAGAACTAAGATTTTTCTTTTTCATCATTTAAAAACTTTTAAACGTCAAGACCACACTCGCACTTATACGTGTCTGAACTTCCTCACTTCGATTTACTCTTTCAGACTTCTCTTCTTCACATTTCCAAAACTCTCCTCAAGTTCCTAAGTTCCATAATTCTACGCGTGCACTCCATTAAGAGTGTGTCCACGAGAGCACCAGGCAGTCGTGCTACATGTCACCGATTTCAATGAAACTTTGCCAGTTTAAAGGGTCTACTCCACAACTTAAAAAGACAAACTGGTTTCTGTTTTGGTTATTTCCGGGGGAAGATAGACCAACCCCCCGGTTTTTCTTGGTTTTCACCGAGGAAATCGCTTCAAAATAGGTAAAATGTACGAAGCTCTCACTGCTATGGTATTAAACCGATAACTCTGAAAAAATGTGAAAAACGTTCGAGATTTTTTGTAGGAATGAAAAATTTCACCTCTAGAGAGATGCATGTAGGCGAAAAATCGTAGCGTTTCTTTCTTCTGTCGTTTATTACTCTGAAGATTTGCTAGGATCAGCAAATATGGCTTTCGTACGGAACATTACATTCATTAGTCTATGATTTTACTGTTTATTATAATTATCGCACAGTTTAAAATAAGGAAACTGTAAGAGGAGCGGAGATTTTAAAGTCACGTGTCGCGTGCGTGTTGACGTACAAGTTCCCGTGTGTAACAAATTCGGCTTTTCCATACCGCTGTGGCTATATGGCCGGTAACCGGTCAAGGTGTTGAAAACACTAAATGGCCGGCAGTCCCATATTCTCAATAAATTTCACAAAATCGAAAAATTCGAAAACCAAACACTAGACTTGAGATCTAGAAAGCATTTCAGGATCGCCTAACTTTTCCAAATCGTTTAGACAGTTTAGATTAGCTGGAATTTTTCGATTTTGTGAAATTTACTGAGAATAAAGGATTGCCGGCCATTTAGTATTTTGAAAACCTTGACCGGCAGTCGAGCTGAAAAAAGTTCTAAGTTTCACAAAACATGGTTTCGTCTCAGTTCTGCGTAAACCAAACACTAGACCTGAGATCTATAAAGTATTTCAAGATCGCTTGACTATTCTAAATCGACATGTGATAGTTTAGATTAGCTGGAACTTTTCGATTTTGTGAAATTTATTGAGAATATAGGACTGCCGGCCTGTTTTGAAAACCTTGACCGGCAGTCGAGCTGAAAAAAGTTCTCAGTGTCACAAAACATGGTTTCATCTTCTGAGCCCAGCGTAAACCAAACACTAGACTTGAGATCTATAAAGCATTTCAAGACCGCTTGACTTTTCTAAATCGACCTATGATAGTTTAGATTAACTGGAAGTTTTCGATTTGTGAAATTTATTGAAAATATAGGATTACCGGTCATTTAGTGTTTTCAACACCTTGACCGGTCACCGGCCATATAGCCACAGCATATCATATTGTCAACCAACACGCAGCGTGTGACTTTAAAATCCCCTAGGATGAGCAGTAATGACGATAAAGGATCAAATTATAGACTAATTACTGGGATACCTGTGATAGCCCTGTTATAAAATGCCTTTGTTTTTTTGTCTTTTTTTCCTCCGCCACAAAATGGAAAAATTGCGCAATAGTACCCAGTGGTCATTGGGCCCTCAACACCATGACAACTAACTGGAATCCAATGAGGTGTTCACATGCTGATCACGCGTGTTATCTTGATGATGATTGACTTTGTCATGCACGGACAGGCCCGGGTCACATGACGAACCACGAGATTTTTGCCTATAAAACTCTTTTGTCAGTCGTTTTGTATTTCAACGTGTTTGGATTACGATCATCTGGAGCATTATGGCGCAAACGCTCAAAATACTTATAGACGCATACACAAGTCGTATTGTTCGCGGCCAATCCACACTAAAAGATGTTATTGAGCAGTAATTTTGGAACGGACTGAGTCGCGAACGCTTGAAAGCCATGAAAGCGTTGAATGCCATGTTTGCCTTGTATGCCTTGTATGCCTTGTAGGCCAAGTATGCCAATGTCTCAGTTGAAAAACGTACACTTGTTGTAAAAAGCAAAATCTGAAATCTGAAACCAAACTGCAAATATTCTATGCAATCTATTGAACAACACTACTACCGTGAGACTGACGAACACAACTTAAATGGATGCAAACTGCTTGTAAAGAAAGACGCCATGTTGGATTCACTTGATGCCAGGGAACGTAGCTACGATAACAGTGCGAATCGTATTTATTTCACGATCAGAAAGGCGAATCTCATGTTTGTGTTCATTGTAGTTGTATGGATATTCTTTTTTAATAAAAACATGATCCAAAATCCCGTGTCTTTTGTGTATAATGTTATGTCAAGTATTGTTTACGCAATTGTCTTGTCACAGCACAGGCTGCCCAAGCTCACGTCTCGAGAAAAAGCCAACGATGAATTTATGAACTTGTCACGCGTTGTGTGACTCGGTGTTAAGTTACGGGAGGAACCGTTGAAAATTTGAACACGTTGTAAGGAATAGTATGGGGAACGACATGTCTTGGATAACAGTGCTAGTAAAGCAAGCTTAAAGGGCATGTAAACCCCAAAATACATGTTTTTCTTATATTATGTAAAAAGTGGCGTAGAAAACGAATTTGAAATTCTTTTTGTCCTATTCGACTTATTTTGGGAGAAAATCGGCATTTTCAACTGAAATTCCATTTCCGGTAAAAACAATAGCGAGAAGTCGTGACGTAAGCGGTGGAACTAAAATATTGCGCAACACATATTCCCCAGTAGAACTGGTGTGGGAGTTCGTGTAAGCAGCGGTAGTTTGGAAGATGTTTTTTCAGAAGATAGCGACTCGAATGCCTTAAGCTTAGTACATGACAGCGATGGGGATAATCCAGAATCTTCAGGAGAGTCTGGGCCACGTCCTTAACAATATGAGCCGCGTAGGGTTCACCGAAGCGATCCGCACGAAGACAGTACAGAACATGTCGACAGCGATGCGACCGTCTCGGAAACTCAGACTGGTATTTAATTTACTGTGTGATTTATTTGTATTTGACAAGAAAATCCAATAAAGCGAGGGTACAATCTAAAAGAATGCAACAGAAATTTTTTAAACTTGAGCTTCTGAGAGTGTTTTACATAAAATTATCAAAGGTGCGAGTGTGGAACTTGTTAACTAATGCCGACAACTCATGAAAGTGTTCGTTGTACGGAAATCGGGCAATTGTGGCAAAAAGTAGAGGAGCAAGGACCTGAAACCCAGATAAGTTGTATCACTGAGCATCCAGGTTTTCAGTCAATTTGCCTTGATTTCTGGGTGCTGAAGACGGCCAATTACGCGTACAGGCAGCAGCAAGGCACAGATAATCACACCGGAAACGAGTAAGCTAAATGTTTTCTGTTTCATCTGTTTTGTTACATTTTGAGATCGATTTGCTTGGGTTGTTTCTGCCATTGATTTAATAACACAGTACAAGAGCTAGTTGTTTTCCGCTTCTTTCCTGGCAGGAAATTTCGTTAAATTGCCTAAAGATAGCTTGTTCGTTAGTGTTGGGAATATCTCTGCAAACACTTCAGGGTCGCTGTGCCATCTTGTGCGGTAAACAATATCCGAAACATTTTTCCAGCGGATTTTGGATCGCCTTACATTGGATTAAGACCGCCAAACCTTTGATAGAGACTCAAAGGTAAATGTTAATGCAGATCTTAGTCATTTATGTCTTACAGCACTGGAGGTTGTGCCCGTTCTTTATGAGATATTGTAGCGCAAGCTATTCCCCAGGGGTCCCCCCTGAGTGACCTTACCATGGGGTCACGTGACTCATCGAGACCATGTGCGTTAGTAGTGTTGTGTTTTTATTAAAAGCAGTTAACGCCATGCTACTGTGATTTGTGGCGTTACATTGGTGGCAGCGG